AAAAAAAAAAAAAAGACAAAACCTTGAATTGATATGATTTTCATGTATACATTTCTGCTTTTCACCCAAGTTCTAATCACATCATCATTTTTTCCTTCTTAAATTAGGCCAGAAAAACTGGATTATGTTTTTCATTTCCTGAAGTCTCATCAGATTTGAGAAAGATTTGTAACAAAATCATTCTGGATGCATGTTTTATGTAATTCTAGGCTAATGTATTTTATATATTCAATTTGGTATACTGCTTTTACTCTCCTCTAGGTTTATATACCTATATACCAAAGATTAAGGTCAGTTCATAGATGCAAGATTAAAAAAAAAAAAAAAAAGTCACTAAAATCATAGTTTTGAGTTGGAAGGAACCTTTAAAGGCCATCTAGGCCAACCCCTTTGCAGTGAGCAGGGACATTTTTAACTAGATCAGGCTTCTCAGAGCCCCATCCAACCTCACTTTGAATGTTTCCAGGGATGGGGCATCTGCCACCTCTCCAGTCAGCCTCTTCCAGTGTTGCACCACCCTCATTTCTTCCTTGAACCAAAGATATTTTTTGAATTGTTATATTTGTGATAAGTTAAGGACAAATAAATCTCCTCATTTCTTCCTTGAACCAAAGTTATTTTTTAAGTTGTTGTATTTATGATGTTAAGGACAAATAAATCTCCTCATGTCTTCCTTGAACCAAAGTTGTTGTATTTATGATGTTAAGGACAAATAAATCTGTGCAGGCAATGGATAATCTGTGTATTTTGAGAAGAGAATTAAAAGGTTACTTACTTGATTTTTCACAGGGAAATGTTCTCTGTTTGGGTCAGAAAAAGGTAGAGATGTCAGTTGTTTTTTTTCTGAGGCATAGTAATAAGGTGAGAGGGAAGAGTATCCAGGATAAAGTCCCTGAACTGTTCCAGAGTGATCTCCTCCACTGGTCTGGAACACAAGCAATCTCAAATCTGAGTGACTAATTATTTAACAGGCAAACAGTTCTGGTTCATCTTCTCTGATTTACAAATTGTTTGTTTGTTTTGTTTTTCTTTTTTCACAGTGTTAACTACCAGAAGTTCATTTACAGGTGGGAAAAAGGGTTTATGAAACAGTAGATTTCTGTCCATTAAATTCTAGTTTAACCTGTAATATTTTATATAGCAAAGATCTATTTAATAGTATATGAACATTTAATTATATGTATGTTTATGTGCCTGTTTCCTTCACCTTGCTTTGAAGTTTTTTACCTGAGACACCTCCAGTAAGATGGTCTCTAGAGAAAGTGGGTTTCTGTCAGTAGATAATCCAATTTTCTTTGGACACAGAAGTATTTTTGCAAACAGCAATTTGTAGGAGTAAGTATTCTGTGATTGTCAATTACATTTAACAAATATTGTGGAGGTTATGTTGATAAAAGATAAAAAGCAAAATTATAGCTAATAGTGATACAACAATTAGTAAGAATAACTTCATGGACAAATGAATGTGCTAGTATATTATCCTCCTTTATATGATATACAAAGTGATATGGTCTTCAAATCCCTATGTTTGTTTTAAAGTTTCAAATTAAAAATAAAATTCACAATGTATTTTAAAGGTTGGTTTGTTGTTGTTGGGGTTTTTTGGGTTTTTTTCTGAGAATGATATTTTAATAAAATAGAAATTGCATTTTCTCTCCATGGAGTCCTCAAAGAAATGTAGTTCATCTGGTCTTACTGCAGTTAGCATATGGTGATACTTCTTGCCCAAAAGGTGGTATCAGAAGTTGTTCTTTAATTACAGAACATGAGGATACAAAGTGCTGTGGATGCTTGCAATGTGGTCTTCTGAACTAGAGCAGTTCTCACCTTAATTTATGATGAAAATATTTTTCTTATTATTCTTTCAAAGCCTTAATGTGATATGAAATTCTCCTGCCTCAGTGTTAGTCAGATCAGGCAGGAATTAATCACCTCAGATCGGGAGTAATGGTGTAAATTTATCACTTCAATTCAGTCCATGGATTTAGCTTTGAGATAATGAACCATAGTCAAAGTGGTTCCCTTTACTGGAATTATTTTTCAGCACACATACTAATAAAAAGTTTTGCCTATTGCCTCAGGACTATACTTCTCCTTTTGGGTGAATAAATTATGAATAAATTATCTGTGTATTGAAGTTACATGATTTTATTTTTTCTTACTCAACAAAGTTACCCTTGCTATACTATCACAGTAAAATAACTTAGAAAGTTTGTTAGTGCCCTGATCTCCATAATAACAGAAATTCTCTGTATCAATAAACTTTAAATTCCCAAGTCTCCCTAAAAGTACAGTTTCTGTGATAAATATTTTGAACTTTTTTCAGCAAATATTTCTGCAAGCTCTTTATTTCATATCAGATAGCTTCCAGTGATGATCTGCACCACTGACAAATGAAATTTAATATTTGGCTATAAATGAGTAGAAAAGACATTACCTGCGGACAGGGAGTAATTTTGATGGCAATTCTCAAGAAAACAACAATGGAAGTGATTACAATAGATTGTGTTGAAGCAAAATATCTGCCACACATCAGTGTGTGTGTTAATAATCTGTAATAATTGCAGATTATTTAAATTTAGATTATAAATTCTGGATACTGTATCTAAAAGGGGTTTTCTTTTATTACAGGATAAGGTGGATTTGTACAGATAAAAATGGCTTTTTTAATTTGTCATGTTGATTCTGAATGAGGAATCCCTAAGAGCTAATCATTAGCTTGAAGTAAATGGTCCAGACCTTGAAAACCTTCTGCTCTGTAGCTGTACTCACTGCAAATATGGGTTTCTAGTCACACCCTTTCAGAGCACCACCGTCACCATCCTGGTGCTACTCCTGAAATTAAGAGATTTTCCACTCTAAATCTTCAGACATAGTTGATCCTTTAGGGTAGATCTTTCCTGACATCTCCTGAAAAAAATTATATGCCCCACCATGTCATGGTGACTTGTTAGATCCCACTAACCACTAACCACATTTTATATTCTGGAAAGCTGGAGGTACACCAGTTTTGCAGAGATGTTGTCTTTTGCCCTAGTCAGAGAATGCATAAGTTATCCAGGTGTAACCAAAGAGGCTGTCAGGATGCACAATCCTCCATCCTTTTTTTTTTTTTCTATAGCCTAGTCTTGTCTTTCACTCACCTCTGTAGTGCATGAGAGACAGAGCTCACTTTTATAAAGTTTACATTCCTCCTGTCAGGTTTGTGTTCCTGTAGCTCTTGTACACATGGATACTTATCATGCAATTCACAGTTTCAGTTACACGAGGTCCCCAGACTGGGATAATTTGCTCTTGAGGCTGTAGCTTGCTGCTGGTGATGAGATGCCTCCACTTGAATGGAGGATTAGGGGATTAATGACTCTTCATTGTTAATTCTTTACTGGTTGTCTCAGATTCTCCCTTGGTGTCTTTCTGGATCTCCAATCCAATATGCAGGCTAAATGACCAAAAGAAATGTGATTGCAGAGGGGCTTAAGATTTCAGGCATATGCTAATCCATCATTACCGTCAAGTTAAAGAAGGAAGTAATGAAATCCTGGCAGCAACAAGAATAGCTATAAATAGATAGGAACATTTCCCTATGTCCTAATCTTAACCTGTGCTAATGATCCTATATACTCAAACACACTTTTACCTCTGTTTCCTGAGCATTCACAGTGCTACCTCTCGTAACACGGTTTAAATTACAGTATAAAACCTGCAGCAATTGGAGAAATATTCCCTCCATAACAACGTTGGTTCAATTTACAGTTGTGAGATTCTCTCTCAGGTGTGGTTGCGTGACCTTCCCTTTCTGTCTGCTTTGGTTTTGCAGCTGCAGAGCAGCCTGTCTGAGCCCATGACGTTGTCCAAGTCGATCTCGCTCCCGCGCAGCGCGTACTGGCACCACATCACCCGGCAGAGCAGCGTCGGAGAGATCTACAGCTTGCAAGGCAAGGCCTCCACCCCTAACTGCCATCCCCATTAGCTGCTTTCCCTTTGACCAGCATTCAGGCAAATTGCTTTTTATTTGCACTGGTTGTTTTCTCTCCATTTCGCTTTATCAATTGTCAAGAACCTCAGCAGGATTCCCGAATTTACATAAAACAGGTTTCTTCTAGTCATTTTGTAAACTAATGGTGAAAATTATTCCCAGAATCACCACATAAAGCTGGGTAGACAATTTGGCTCAATGTAGCTTCTCAGTAGCTAATGAATGTCAGGTTGTTTTAGTATTTTCTTCCAATATGATTGTGTATGTATTTGGGCAACCTCAGGGTGCCCAATTAAATCTGCATAAAGTGGCTATATGAATTACAAGATTAAAGCAAAATAATTCTAGGAATAAGAGCTATGCTTGGTGAATTTACTTGGTGAATCACATGTAGGAACTGTCAATCTGGCTCACTTAACAGGCCTTCTGTATATGCATATCATCCTTCTCTATCTCCAGTTCTCTTTCACATGTTTAGATTCTAAGCTATTTGCTTAAGACTTTAAGTGCTATAATTAACATAACTTGATGATGATGATTCACTGCTCTTAAGCTGGAATTGATTTGTATCTTTCAGGAAACTGAAATTAATGTTGCATTTAAAATGCAGACCTTAGTACTGTTTTCACTTTTTAAAAGTAACATCATAAATACAGTCCTTTGTATTACTCAGAAAGGGCTTAAGGATTTTGTTTCAGTTCTCTGTTAATATCTGTTTGCATAAGGAATTTACATTTAGATAGGAGTTTAGAAGCTGCTCACAAACGAGAGTACCCAGTGCAAGAAAATATAGTACATGTTTTCATGAAAATAAGTGAAATGCAGTATATAGATGAAAGACATGAAGTGGTTTATTTTGTAAATTATCACATAAATTAAATCCAGCAGGTGAGCTGTGAATGCAGTGGGTGACTCATTAAAGGGTACAGCATTTGTATCCTGTCATCCCCCATACCACAAAGACAAAGTGAGTTTCTAATCATGGCTATAGTGCTAAATAACATTAATGGAAAATAAAACAAAAAATAACCTTCCAGAAGCTGTTTGTGAAAAAGGATGTACTTGTATATCACCTTAAAAATACTTTTCATAGCATTGATATTTTTTTCATTAACACAATAAGAATGCAAATAGAAAATTAAAAAAAAAAAAAAAAAAAAAAAAAAAAAAAAAAAAAAAAAAAAACTTGATCTGTAGAGATGTTAATGTTCCTCTTCTTACGTCCTTGATGGATCTTTCCTTTGGCCAAAAGAGAATGAGCATGGTATGATATAAATGAGGTGAGACAAATGTATGGAACTTTTTTCATTCTCTGAAATCTTTTGTTTCTTATAAATGGCCTTTGCTATAAAGGAAAGCAAAGCTTGATATATCAAGTAGTAGTTTAATAGCTATACCAGCTAGCTTTGCAGGACACAACATGTTGCAGCTGTATTATTAAAAATGCAAGAATTTTACTTTTTGGAAGTATGCAGCCATTATTCACACTTCCATTGAAACATGAGAATAATAAATATTTCAGAACTTAGGATTTTCAACTCTTTTACATGTACTATGACTTAAACCTGAGAAAGTGTAGTTGATTTCAGGAGAAAATAGTTCAGTCTGACCAGTAAGCTAAGAAATGCATCCAGAAGACAATTTCGTCTCCTTGTGGCTGCGAAACTTTTACGTGCAAGAATATTATTCTTTAGCTCTGCTGAAGATCTCTTTGAACCTTATGCTGGAAGGACTAATTAAATACGATGTATTTGGACAGAAGCTTAAGGGAGTACAAAGTACACCTTTGTGTCCTAATACCTGTTGCTGCTGGTAGTCTTTGGACAGCAGAGACCTACTGGATGTCAAACCATCAGCCTGCAGATGTTTCATAGCTGTAGGTGGAAGGTGGGTAGCGAGGAAGCAGATTGCAAGCATCACTTCAACCCTCACCTTAGTATGGCAGACGGCTGAGAGGAGCTGTTGCAGAGGGAAAAATCATTTGCTGCCACTGTGATCTCCTCTGAACTTGAAAAGGTATATTACACCTTCAGAAAGGAGATGTTTTCTTTAGAGAATAATCCTTCAAACTTAGTTCTGCACTTCATGTGTATTTATGACAAAGCTTTTTACACTCAAGAAATTTGAAAACTCCACACATTCCTCTGAAAATCTTGCAAAGTCTAAAATGAAATAATTAGAGTGGTATCTACCTATATTCAGATGACTATCAGTAAAGTAACAGCCCAACTCTCTGTTAAGTACAATGTAGAAGTGTTTCCATAGTGGCAATTATTTCCAACTTGCAGTCTGAAGTGACTAGAATTTAATTAATAGCAGTTGGTGATGTGTAAGAAGTGAATATATGCTCCTACTGCCTTAGATAAATTAGCTCTTGGGGAGTTATTCAGCAGCTGAATTTAACTTAATTAGTAGTGTGAGTTGATCTGATAATGAATATGCTGTAAAGTAGGGAGATGGGGTATTTTGTGGTGGGTTTGGGTTCTTTTTAAAGATGACTTTTCAGATGAGAAAATGCAATTCAATAAATGGTATTGGGTTTATCATCCTCCATCTGCCCATAACGACCCTTACATGTAAAGACTTAAAAAGATTAAAACACAGAATAATAGTACTACAGAACACAGGTTGCAAAAAATATCCTAAAAAGAAGTGGGCTGGTTTCTCTCTTTGTACAGATTTTCTTCCATTCGTAGCTTCCCTGTACTCTTTCAATTCTTGATTGCACTGCTAAGATAAAAGTAGTAATTTAGTTGTCTCATTAATCTTGTCAATAGGAGCAGCGTGGTGGTTGGCTTTTACCAGTGGCAGTGCATCACTCCCAGTGATCCAGGTCAGGTTTTCCAGTGTAGTGCTGCAGGTCTGACAGTGTCCCAGCGTGATCTGTGGAGGTTGTGCTGTGGAGCCCCATCAGCTGACACGATGCTGCCCTTTCAGCTCTGTCTTCCTCTCCATCTGACATGACATGGGGCATGTGGCAAGTCCCACCCCTCCACAATAAAAAGAAAAGGGGGATTGTTGCTATGCTGGAAAACAGCACAAAGTTTTTCTAGCCATCAGGTTAAAATCTGATCTAAATTCTGTGTTGGAGTGAGCTCACTTAAAGTCCCAACTGATGCGCATGGGTTTTCAAATCACAGTGCCTCTTTTTGAAGTGTACTTATTAATAACCTACATCTCGCCTTTAATTACAATTCAGAAATGGAATACTGTCCTCATAGATATTTATCATAAAATTGTTTAAATTTTTTAAAAAGGAAATTACTTATACATTATTTTTGTGCATACAAGAGTAAGACTTAAATCAATAGTACATTTTCTTGAATAATGGATAGCTCTAAAAAGAATTAGAGCCCAGAAGATATGTTTCCTTGATATATTATGCCCTCTTATACATCAATGTTTACAAATACACAAAAATTACAAGTCAAGAGTGCTGCTGTGAACTGAAATCGTGGTTAAGGAGAAGAATACAGGTACAAAAGCCATGTAAGCGTGAAAAAACCTCTGTATGTATTCTCATAAATCATTGTTTATTGTTATTACCTGGCATATGATTTAGCACTCTTTCACAGGATATTGAAAATTAAGAAACAAAGCACATGTCTTTCTATACAGCGAAAGATAATAGGTAGCATGAGTATTTGCATGATAGAATTCATGATATTCTCATTGATAGAATGCCCATTATTTTTTTTTTTTAATTTTGCTTTTTGGGGTTTAAATGTGGTTAAGAAGAAAACAGGATTGCAACCTGAATTTTCAACTAGCTGCAATATAGTGTTGTACTTCTTGCTCTAGAGAATACAGATAATACAAATTTAAAACACAGTCAGTTTAGATATTATTATTAAAAAAATTCGGCCAAATAAAATTTTGGGATGGAAAACTGCATTAGATTTTTTGTATTGCAGTTATTGAAATCCCTGAGGAAATTATGTCCAGAAAATCTAATTACAGCCTGGCCTCTCTCCAAGAAATTAAAAATTAAGAATCACTTTCAATCACCGCTGTTGTGTTTGAGTCTGGTTCATATTCTTTACCTTGACTTTGGTTTTGACATCCATACTCAAAATGATGAGCACCTACCCACACAAGCACTCTTATTCATTTCTATGAGAGCACTCATGTGAGGGAACCTATATTTGTATATATATAGAATTACACCAGAAAAAGTTTACATTTTCCTTTTAAAGAGAATAGTAATGCTTTTTTCCACAGTAGATTGCTTATCACAAATGCTTATTTACTCTGTCACAAATTCTTACCACATTTTTTTTGTAAACCCATAAGAAAGTCATTGAATTACACTTGCAAAATACTAAGATGCCTGCAAAGAACTAAAGTCTCACAGTTTTAAACTGAAGCAGGAACTCTGAGAAGCAAAACTCTCTTCAGTGAGACAGGACTTAGGCTGGAAGCATCACTTAAGCCTGTAAGTACAAAAAGAGATGGAAGTGAAAACTGGCCTCAGTGAATTCTGTAGGAATTGATACAATTGTTTTTTGTATTTCACACTAAAGATGCAAGAAAAAATAAATCTGCTTTTGCAAATCAAAACAGAGGGAAACTCTTTGGCCTCAGTAAGCAAGCCTACATTGCCTCTTCTCTTTTTGGCTTTGTTAGGCAAGAGTTCACCCTTCTTTGGTTTTGAATGTATTTTAAGCAGAACATGTAGTGTTAACCCATTCAGCTAAAAAGTTTTGTACCTAAAAGGCAGACAACAACATACAGAAATTATTTCTCCAGGATACATCATTTTCCAGCCTTTTCAAAGTAGAGGCTCTAGTATGGCATTGAAAGTAATCAGAGAATATTTGAGTTGCTAAATATTTAGAAGGGTTTGAATCATCCTGCTCAAAGCCTCCTTAGGCTAATCCTGCAGGAATTTCTGATGTGGGCTTCTGCAGTTTTCTGCAAATTAAAGTATGTAAAATGAATTGGAGGACATTTATCATG